ACTTCACAGCAGAGAAAATGTCTACAGTCTGGTTTAAAAACATTTTAGGTTTAATAAGTCAAGTTTACCGTCATGACAACTCAGAGGGAGATGCATTTTTGTAACTAATCTGTTTAGATGTAATTAGCCTCAACCTCGGCCTCACATTAAAAGTGTTACAACCCAGAAACTAAAGGGTAGCTGAGTCATTCAGTCGTGGTTTTCTGGCTAAAAACGCTCGTCAACCTCCATTAGCGTCAGTTAGCTCCTTTAGCTTGTAGCTGCATGCCTCAGTGTTTGTTGGGTGTTAATCCTCTGCCTCCACCTCCTTTCCGAGACACATGACACGACTAAAATGGCGGTGGTGGGAACCTCCCACTGGGTTTCAGTTCAGCTCTTCAGTAACCTACGGGAGATGGTGCGGAGGGTTTGGCAATAATTTACGTACAGTCAATGGTTTGAAAGTGGGTTTTGTAGAAACATCAAAGATATGCTGATTAAATCTGATTGACTGCCCCTCATCTAACGTTTTAGAGATTAGAGACGTTTTTTTTCTTGGCTCTGCTGTGACTACACATTAGACCATCTATCTCAATTTCTGCAAACCATAGATGTTGAAAGAGCAACACTACAACAGATAAAGTATTAATAGTAACTATCCACAGAAATCCACTTAAAAGCACCGAACTATCCCTTTAAATCTCAAGCTAAACATAGGCTCTCTGGCTCAGTAAGCCAAGAAAAGAGGCCCTTCGTTTGGATCAGAACAAAGCTTTTCATACACTCAAAACAAAAGCAGCTCTTCTGCTTGGTATGATGTGTTCCACGTGTAGAGCTCAAGGCTGCTGTCTCCACAGCTGCCCCACACAGGCAGCCAAACAGTGGGGGGTGAGGATGGAGTGGCCTGCAGGTGAGGGGCCTGGGACGTATTGCTAGGTCTGGCCCAAAGCCAAAATGTGAGACGATAAAGCTGATCACACCTCTAGTTTTGGGCCAACTATTGTTTCAGTTGGGTTTCTAGAAACACCGTCTTGTGAGGGGAAACTAGAGGGCAGCAACTTTTTGGCTCATTCATTTTTATCTAAAGAAAAAACCCTCCGAATGCAGAATGATTTGAAATATGTTCGTAATCAAAAAAGAACAGCAGACATTTTGCATGAGTTATCATTTTCTGTGCAAATTCACTTGTTCTAATATTAAAGGCACACAGATAAACCAAACTGTTTGGGTTTAACAAGGTAATGTACAAGTTAATTAGTTTATTCTGCACACATAAGGAAAATATGTTGTGAGTCTGAAAAAGTAGTTCATGGCTCAGTGTTGGTAAATGCTGACGCAGCAGGAGAAGAGTTAGTATCCAGAGTGTTTACACTGTTTTTACTGCTTAGGCAAACCAGGAGAATATTACACGTTTAAACTGTGATGCATGCAGAGGGAAAGGTAGTGCAAAGCTTAAAAATGAATTAAATAAAGGTTCAATTAGTTTAAAAAGCTGCTTTTTACACACAGATTTATTTCAAGTACCCCATGACCTCTGCTCGATAGTCTTTCTGTGCTGGTTTGAGTTTAACCCGGACCATTTGGGTAAAAGGGTGATTTTAAACTCACACAACAAGCCTTTCTCTCTCTAGCCACACTCCTGGGGGAAAAACATCTTTGTCTCCGTAGCACGATGCCTCTCATTGCTGCACCTCGTGGATTTCATTCTGAAATCATCACCGGGATCCAATTTGGCTTCATTAGCAGAGACAGGGATCTCCTTCAGTCCAGCCCTGGACCCGTCTAAAGTAGTCATCTGCTGTCAGTAGCATCTTTGTCACTCAAACTCCTGAGCCCTCACTTGACTCTACAGAAGGGTCAGTCATTCTTCACTAAAAGGAATGTTTTTTTACTCTCTCTCTTTCTCAGTCTCTCTCCGCTCACTTCCTGTCAGGAAAGAAATTCATGGCAGCCTGTCCCCATTCCGACCCTGCAGTTCCCCCTCCTCCCCTGTTAGAGCAGGGGACCAATCAGACCATTCTGAATAAGTCTGGTCCTGTTCACTCAGGTCCCTGTGACCCAAAATAAGGAGGTGGTGTGAAACCTAATCATTTTACTAATCTTTTACTTTCAGGTTCTGCAAATTCTTCCGTTGCAAAACTGAAATAAAATGTAATAAAACATAAATATGATCTGTTTATTCATTAATTATTGAGTACAAAAAGGAGGCTTACAGGGAAACGCTGGAGATGAGGCTCCAGCAGAAAAGAAGTGAGGTCAGGGATGAAGACATGATCCAACAACAACATCTATTATTGATGCTCCATATCTGTAAAACTGACTCTAAAGTTAAAGCCATTCTGTGTGTGTTAATGTCCATCAGCTGTAGAGGCTTGAGGCTGGCATTGTAGATGTTTATCCAGAGTTTACTTTGTAGTTTCAGTCCGTCTAACATGACACGATGTGCTGAGAGGGACAGGGCTGATTCTAAAGCTTCAGACAAAAACTTTTTGTAGCTCCCTGAATATGTGATGAATGTGACTTTAAGCTAGCCCAGAAATATAGACCAACCATCTCAGTATCAAAAGGTTTAGCTCGCAGGTTGGTCTAGCTACACTCCATTGTAGCTTCAGCAGGTCTACTATATGACAGAATAATTTTTGGTCTAGCCAATCACAGTACAGAGAGATTGGATGGGTTTGGCACCAGAGCTGCAATGAGAAAAACTACAAAGATGGCGTCGGCTCAGAAATGGCCCTCATTTGAAACAGCTTTGGCATCAATTTTGGACAATTTAGACTTGGGCTATTCTTTGAGTCATGAGCAGATGGAGGTATTTTGGTCCTTACTTTAGAAAAAGGATGTTCTTACTTCTTCTTCTTCAGCTGAATATGGCAGACTGCCCTGTTGACTGAGTTCCATAGAGATGAATGTGTTACGTTGTTTGTTGCTCTGATTGGTCCTAGCATTGTCCAATAGCATGCAGAGACAGTTTGAAAGACAATCGTAGATTCTGCCCCACCACTGAGATCTGTCTGTAGCCTGGCCTGCCAGACTCGTCCTCTGTGTAATTCTGCACAGAGAGAATCTGGTAACTCACAGGCAGAGAGCACTTGAGGGACGGGACTTGGCAGCTCAAAAGTAACCAATCAGAAAAAAAGACGGAAATGCCGACACTGTAGTTTTCTAGCTGTAGTAAAAAAAAGGCGTCTGGCAGCGGCGCAAACATCTTTTATTTTTTTCGAGGAAAGGCTTTTAGTGCTTCTACTTGTGGTTTTAAAGACATTCAAATCATTTAGAACAGAAAAAAGAGCCACAGCGAACTCCGCCGCTGTCTTCATTGTTTATGAGAAACAGAGCATCGCTGTGTGTGACGCTGTAGTTGTCGTGGCCAAATTTATTGAGGGTTTGAAAGCCATTAGTTTTATTTATTCGTGTTTTGTTTAACAGTAGAAACATATTATAAGCCTGACTTCTACCTAAACCTTTACGTGATTTATGTATGTATTTATTTGATTACTTTTGTCAGTTTGTGATGACATTGTAAACCTTTGGACCCTAGGAGGAGTCTGACAGGTCAGGCTAATCTGTCTGTGGGTCATACCCAGACTTTATTTACATTTTATAGGATGGCTTGTCATGTTCTGTGTCCCTTTGTTCCCCAGCCCCTCCAGTTCCCACTCCAGGTTCTCCTTTTGTGTTTCATAGCGCCCTCATATGTCCTTTGTCTGCATCTAATTTATGTGTCTCCTGTGTTCCTTTAGTCTTCTCCAGTCACCCCTCTGCAGCCAGTCATCCCTCTGCAGTGTTTATAGTTTCAGCTTTTCATTTTTATTAGTCTCTTTAATATGTTTTGTCCCACTGGTTTTTGTAGTTCTCCTTCCCTTTAGAATTTTAGTTATATGGTTGCTTTTTTGTTTTTAGGTTTTTTCTTAGGTCATGTGAGTTCCCTCCCTGATTAGTCATTGCTTTCACCTGGTCCTCCCCCACACTCCACACACCTGCAGCTCATCTGCCTCCCATTATGCCCCAGTGTATTTAAGCCCTGTCTTGTCTCTGTGTCTTGTCGGTCCATTGTCGTTGTCAGTGTTGTTTTGTCCGTCTCGTGCGTTCTCCTGATCTTGCTCATGAAAGAGCTTCTGTTTTGCCTTTTTTGCCAGCATTTGCCTTTGGATTTATGCCCAGCCTCCTAAAATAAAAGGATTTTTACTTCATATCCACTTCTGCCTCGTGTCATCCTGGGTTACTGCATTTTGGGTCCAAACCATCCTCTCAACGTGACATGGCTAGTCTAGGCCAGGCTAGCTTTAAGCTGCTACAACATCCAATTTTAGCATATGTTTATGTTTATTTATTTGGCAGATGCTATGATCTTAGTGTACAAATGATTTAAGACTTTATTTGTTTTGCTAGTGCTGATTAGCTGTGGTGGCCATTTTGATGTAGAGTGACTCCAAAAGCTAAAGATGGACATCCTGACAAGGCCTAATGAGATTCATTAAGATCCTTCTAGAGGTTTATGAGATATTTTACTAAGAACAGACACAGGAACAAACAAGGTTGCTCATCTTTTACCTTTCAGCAGCAGTGTTGGGAGTAACGCGGCACAGTTAATTACTGGAATGCATGGCTTTTTGCTGTAATGTGGTAATGTAAGGCATTACAGGGAAAGAAAATAGTAATATTTACTCGGTACAAGTGTCAGTAACGCAGTAATTATAATGCATTTTTAAACCCAGAATCAAGATGTAGGTTTCCTAAAAATTCAAATTGCGGGAAACCTGATAAAAGATCCAGTATCCACATATATGACGTCATTAATGGACTCAGCTTTGCGGGCATTCTGTGAGCAGCGGTAATGGCTCAAATACTCCAGCTGCGTCCTGCACGCGGCTGCTGTTATATTCACAAAATCGCTCCACCAAAACAAAGTAATTAGTTTGCGATCGTTTATATCAGCCCATATTCTCTGGTACTTCATGTACTTTTCAGCTGAGTTCATAATCTGTGCCCCGGTGATTTCAACTCATTGCTGCTGGAGCATGTTAAGCTTTTTTTTTTTTTTTTTTTTTTTTTTTTGCTTTCAGTAGATCCCTTTGGCTGACTAGTTAGAAAGTAGGAAATCTAGGAAACAGTTTTTCTGGAAGACGGAGAAAACATGCAGCATGCAGGAAGGTTAGAGAGAGAAAGGGCCGGAAATTATTCACATAAAATCAAGAAAACAAAACAAAGTGCTTGAAAAGAAAAAAAGTAGGAAGATTTATCCCCAATACACATTTTTACCTGTGAAAAGCAATAATATATAAGCATTTTAATATTTATACATGTGATAGAATCAGATCACCCCAGAAGTCAGTCCCACATCCAGGGCCGTATCAAGGCATTTGGGGACCAAGGCAAATATAGGCTTGGAGCCCCCACCACCTCACACCCTGCTCAGTTAATATAAGATGGCAGCATGCTGAGAGTACAGATTGTTGTTGTTTTTATTTAATAAACAATCATTTTAAAGCACTGTTATTATATCTGACTGTTTTTAACAGCAATCCTAGCTCAGACACCACATCACCTTCCACATATATGTCATGAGCTCACTGAGCGTCACATGACCAGATTCATACTGAAGTTGTTTTGGTGAAAGTAACTTAAAGTAATGCAAAAGTAGTATAGTGCCTTACATTTTAAAATCAGTAATATTGTAATGTAATGAGTAATAAATAATGCATTGCAGTTTTGAAGTAACTTGCCCAACACTCTTCAGCAGTGTGTGATAATGACACAAATTCAAGGTTCAAGGTTCAAGGTTGTCTTTATTAATCCCCAAGGGGGAAATTGAATTGCCTTGGACAAGTAAACACAACATGCATATCCACACAGTAAAACATTCACTGGTCCTGATAAAATATGAAAATATCAAATATACAATCATACGAAATGGTCATTGTAAAAACGCACTGCAGCTGGAATAAAAGAGTTCCTAAAACGTTCAGTGGAGCACCAGGGCATTAACATTCGCCCACTGTAAGAGCTCCTGAGATCCTTAAAAATGTGGTGAAGGGGGTGATCCTCCAGAGTCATAACTGTCTTAAGTTTACGCTTCATCCTTTTGTCGATGATCATGTCAAATGAGTCCAAGCGTTGCCCAACTACTGAGCCAGATTTCTTGATCATTTTGTCGATCCTGTTTTTGTCCTCAGCAGTGAGGCTCCTGCCCCAACACAACACAGCATAAAACAACACACTGGCCATAATCCCCTGATAAAACACATTCAAGAGCCTCCTACTTATATCAAAAGATCTTAGCTTCCTAAGAAAAAAAAACAATCTGGACTGGGCCTTTTTAACAACAGAATCACTGTTCCTTTTCCAGTTTAACTTATCGTCGAGGTACACCCCGAGATATTTATATGTCTCCACAGTTTCTATAGGTTGGCCTTTGATGACCACTGGAGAGAATGTTTGTTTTTTCTTCCTAAAATCAATAACCAGCTCTTGTGTTTTGCCAACATTGAGCTGTAGAAAATTTGCATCACACCATCCAACAAAGGAGTTAACTTCCTCCCTGTAAGCCAGGTCGTCACCCCGGGAGATCAGGCTCAGTAGGGCAGTGTCATCAGAGAACTTCTGTAAGTGACAAGATGGTAAACTGTGCCTATAGTCAGCTGTGTACAATGTAAATAAAAAAGGAGATAAAACTGTTCCCTGTGGTGCACCAGAGTTCGTAAAAATCAAGTCCGAGCACTTACCACCAACCCTCACAAACTGAAGCCTGTTTTAGAGATGGTCTAAAATCCAGGCAGTGGTGGAATTGTGCTGCTTAAAATCCAATAACTTATTTCCTAAAATATGGGGCAGAATGGTATTAAAAGCACTAGAAAAATCAAAGAACATAAGTCGCACTGAACTGCTGGCTTTTTCAAGGTGTTTATAAATAATGTCCAGCAGATACAGAAGGGCATCATCCACACTCACACCCTTCCTATATGCAAATTGCAAGGGGTCTTGGAAGGAAACAACTTGTTCTCTTAGGCATTTAAGGACAATTCTCTCAAAACATTTCATTAAATGTGATGTCAACGCAATAGGCCTAAGATTGGACAACGTACAGCTGACACCTGTTTTCTTAGGGATCGGCACAAGACAAGAGGTTTTCCACATTACAGGTATTTTGGCAGCAGACAAGGACAACATGAAAATGTAGTGGAAGACAGCTGCAAGCTGCTCTGCACAAACTTTAAGGGTGTATGGATGGACACCATCAGGGCCTGCTGCCTTGTTAGGCTTAAGCTGACTAAACTGCTGCTGGACATCCTCAACACTAAAGCTAATCTCTGAGCATGCATTCTCAACCTGATCCGTGGCAAGTGCTGATTTAAGTTTGTCGTGTTCATGTGTAAAATCACGATCATCAAATCTGGCAAAAAACTAGTTCATCTCATTCACATCCATCCCGGTGCTGTGTAAACCTGTTTTACCCCCATAGCCAGTCATGGTTTTCATCCTGTCCCAAAGACACTTCGAATTAGAACCATCAATAGAGGTTTCCATCTTATCTTCATATTGCTGCTCACTTCGTCGGATCAGTGTCTTAAGCTCCTTTTGTGCCACCTTAATTTGCATTGGGTCCCCACTGTAAAAAGCAAACTTCTTCCTGTTAATTGCTGCCTTAACCTCTGGTCACCCATGGTTTATTATTAGCAAAAACCTTAACTTGTTTACAAGGCAGCACCAAATCAGTACAGAAATTAACATAGCAAGTCACTGTGTCTGCAATGTCATCAACATCATCACAGTCACATCCTTCAGTAAAAACAGACCAGTCTGTACATTCGAAGCATCCCCTCAGAGTTTCACACGCCTCCTCCGTCCACACGCGCATCGCCCTAAACGTAACCGGCTGTTTCTGTACAGCGGGTGTATACCTGGACCTCAGTAACACAAGATTGTGATCAGAGTTACCAAGTGGGGGTAGGGCTGACGAATAAAAACCATCCTTAATGTTCGTATAAAATAAGTCAATGATCCGCTTCCCCCGCATGGGACATTTAACCATTTGTCTGAAGGACGGGAGCGTAGAAGAGAGAGAACAGTGATTAAAATCCCCTGTAATAATGAACAGTGCATCCAGGGAAGAGCTTTGTAACTTATGTGTCACTTTAGAAACTGTCTCTATAGCTCGCTTTCCGTTGGCCGACGGTGGGATATAAACAACAGTTACAATTATGTGGGAGATCTCCCTCGGGAGGTAGTAGGGACGGCAGCTTACCACCAGCAGCTCAACGTTCTCGTCACACACCCGCTCCTTAACAGTGACATGGCTCGGATGACACCAGCGTTCATTCACATATGTACACACCCCTCCGCCTTGCTTCTTAGCTGTCACGCTGAGGTCTCTGTCCATCCTGCGAAGCGTAAATCCATCAATCTTCACGTGGGACTCCGGTATCTTCTCCGACAGCCAGGATTCCGAGAAGCACATCAGGCTACTCTGCCGGTACATACGGTCGTAGCGAACACACGCAGAAAGCTCGTCAACCTTGTTGCAAAGTGAGCGCACGTTTCCGATGATCACAGAAGGAAGAACCGGCTTGTACCCTCGCCGCCTATTTTTAACTTTGATCCCCGCTCTGCAGCCTCGTTTCCTGGTTTTGACACTGGTAGCATCCAGCTCAGGGTCCAGAAAAGGCTTACTTGTCGCATGCAGCTGCAGACCTAAAAGTTCATCCCGGGTATACGTGTAGACCGGTAGGCCATCACCGCTCCTGACTCGCAGTGTTTGCACTGGGTGCCAGCAAATCACTGCGCACAGCCACACAAGGAGCACCAGGATACATGTATCGAAAACAGCCATAATGTGTAGTTGGAGCAGATTCCAATTGGAGAAAAAATTAAAAGAAAAGTCAAGAAAAAGTTGCTACAAATACAATGAACAATAAAAATAACTCCACGCTCTCTCACACACACACACCCAAGGCAGTGTCGCCAGCTCAGGGGGGCGGCTTAATACATAGTTTTCACTCATATCTGAATTAGCTAATTATCCATCAGATAAATATCACCATCTGGGCTGATGTTTTCTGTCTTCTTCTGTGGTGTGTCTTAAGGTCGGGTAGTTAAAACTACACTCCAGGCTTCCTCCACCAGGCTGAAAACTCAGAGCACTCCGCTCAAATTCTTTTCTCTGATCAGCATTTCAACCATGGATGGTTGGTGCTGGACCCTGTTTGAGGCACAAGCTTGTTAGGCCCGAGCAGCGAAAGCGCTGCGAAGGCCTCTTGTTTTTGCTCTGATTATTCTTTTTTTGTTATTCCGTGCCCCCTTTGAACGGCTTTTTGGGGACCTTAACGTACCCCAAAACTCACAATATTTTGCACACTTGTCAGGCCTGGTGAAAAATTTGATATTTTAAAGGTCCCAAAAAATCTCAAAGAAAATGGCTGAACAGCGCCCCCTAGAAAGTGAAAAAAAAAAACCTCTCCATAAAGCTTAGTTTATCGTACAGTTATGAAATTTGGTACACTTGTAGTACTCAACAGTCCTCACAGAAAAGTCTCTTGCAAGCATGGTCAATATCAAACAGGAAGTCGGCCATTTTGGGTTGAAATGGCGATTTTTTGCCGTTTTTGCCGTTTTTAGGGTCCGTTTCTGATTGGATTGCTCGATCATTTTTTGCACGATCGTCTCAAAAGTGGTGTAAAATTGCTCAGAAGAGATGGGCGAACAAAATGAGACAAGGATTCTGAGTTTTCGTACATGTTGAAGGGGCGGGGCCAGGCCTCGAAGTTTGACTTCTCGCCAAAAAAATTTAAATTGCTATAACTTCGTAACTGAATGGAATAGAGTTACCAAACGTTCTGTGGTCATTCGTCATCTCCCCACAAAGTAAATTGAAATGTCGGATGATGACATCACACAAGCCCCGCCCCCTCAGGACCAAAAAGGTCAAGTTTTACTGTGAAAGGTCCCAAATTGCCCCATTTCACTTAATCACCACAAATTTGTAGCTGGTAACTCAAGACAAGTGGGGGTTGCTTGGCGTCACTTTATGGGAGTTTTCGGCAGAGGGCGGGGCTGTGGCGGCGCGGCGAAGTCAGGCGTACCGCCGTGGCCTTACATTTGCCTCCCATTTCGTCATTTCTAAAGATATCGTCATGAAACTTCTTGTGAGTGATCCTAGTCCGGCCCCTCCAAAAATCTGATGTCAACATCTGGTGGGCGTGGCCTATTTTCTGAAATAGCGCCCCCTAGGACCATTAAAACTGTCAGCCCCAAGCCATGCTTCGACTGAGAATTACGACATTTGGTACACTAATGTGGTGTCTCACGACCTACAAAAAAGTCTCTTGGAGCCAAGTTGTAAGTCGCACAGGAAGTCGGCCATTTTGGTCCAAGTACGCGATTTAGTGGTTTTCGCACACGTTGTTTGGAGAGTGATGCTCCGTCGCCCTTTTCACCAATCTCCTTCAAACTTCTGCTATATACTCTTAAGAAGGGGAAAAAATTCAACCGTCGGATTTTTCAAAAGTCGAAAGGTGTGGGCGTGGCTAAGCCTCAAACTTTGACCTTTTGCCATGCCACTCTTTTTTTCACAGCTCCCTATTGGACTCCTTTTACCCAATCACCAGGATTCTCTGGCAAATAGCAGCAGACAACTTGAGGTTACTTGGGCTCCAGTACTGGCAGGGTTCGAAAAAAGGCGGGGCTTTGGGAGCATGGCGAAAATCACCATCACGCCATGGAAATACGTTTGCCTCTCATTTCTTCAGTTATCGAGATATCACCTCAAAATTTGTTGTGAGTGATCCTAGTCTGACCCCCAATAGAAATGGTCAGCTAAAATGTGTGGGCGTGGCCTATTTTCGGAAATAGCGCCCCCTAGGACCATTAAAACTGTCAGCCCCTAGCCATGCTTTGACTGAGGATTACGAAATTTGGTATACTAATGTGTTGTCTCAGGACCTACAAAAAAGTCTCTTGGAGCCAAGTGCAAAGTCGCACAGGAAGTCGGCCATTTTGGTCCAAGTACGCGATTTAGTTGTTTTGGCACACGTTGTTTGGAGAGTGATGCTCCTTCGCCCTTTTCACCAATCGCCTTCAAACTTCTGCTATATACTCTTAAGACATAGGGGAAAAAATTCAACCGTCGGATTTTTCAAAAGTTGAAAGGTGTGGGCGTGGCTAAGCCTCAAACTTTGACCTTTCGCCATTACTTTACTTGACTTAACTCCCATGTGCATGATCAGATCTTTTTCGAACTTTGTCTGTGTGATCATTGACCATATCTTTAAACAATGACAATGTGGACAGCTGACATCACCTACGTCCCGCCCCCTGAATACAGGAAGTTATTTTTTATGCTGAAATGCCCATATTTGTGCCCTCTAATTTAGTCAACATGACACCAAGGTCATGCACTGTCTTCATGATGCTGTAATGACCATTCAGCTATGATAGCTTTCCAGAAAGGGAGGGGCTTTGATGCCATGGCGAATTCTGGCGTAACGCCATAACCTTACAATGTAATTTAATGGTGAGCTCAGACGGGATGCTGAGTCAGGGTGAGGTGCGGACTAGGAGGCCATTTGCGGTTTCTGGTGTCGGAGTGGTTGACGTTTCTGTTCTGCCAGATGTGCCTTGGTGCCCCGGGCTGCCGGCCAGGCCGGAGCGGCGCGGAGCTGCGAGGGCCGAACGACGCTGCTTGCAGCTTTAATTGTATATTATGTTTTTAAATGCTTAAGACCAGATTTTAACAACACATAATACAACTGGGTAAACACTGGATTTCAGCAACAGAATGTTTTTCTTTTGTTTGTTGTTGTTGTTTTGAGTTGGTGATGATAAAACAAAATAACACAGAAAAAGTCAAACTGAAAAGGTAAAAAAAATCTAGTTCTCCTCTGTGTTACTGATTTCCTATATAACAGGTGATCTTGACTGAAAACATCCACTACACTTACTGGAATGACCCAAGATGTGTCTGTGAGGAGAAGTGTTCAGTTTGAAAGGCCGGGAGACCGGGCTTGTGTTAGCACACGGTCCACAGTCCACATGTGAAGAATCGGCCTGTACACACCATAATAGAGGGAAACACAAGTAACACACCCTGGTACAGAAAATCTAAAATGTTGAAACCTTAAAAACAATTAACAGCTCTGCAGTCTGAAGTAAACAGGAGAAAGAAAGAAAATGATCTTTTATATAGTGCCTCTAAAGATAAAAATCACGAGGAGTTTCACAAAAGCAACAATTCAAGTATAAAAAAGATTTCAAAAAATGATTTAAAAAAGGATCTAAATGAGATAAATAAATGTGATTAAAAACAAAAATGTGAGGAAGAGAGAGCGAAAATGAATAGAAAAGAGGGAAATCAGTGGATCACAGATAAAGGTGGAATAAGTAGAAAGAGCAGAATAAGGAGAGGATGACGAAGGTGAAGAGGAACCACACTCACCACAAGCTGCACTCTGCCTCCACTCAGGACAGATGAGCTTAATCCAGGTAAAAAAGGCTCCCTGTGGATAAAAGGAAACTTATTTATCAGAGTTTTAATGCTACACATCATCATCTCACACCATCTGTCCGTCCGCCTAACCTAACCCTTTACCATAAAGTGGTCGCAAAGATTAGTCCCCATAAAATCTAACATAAATTATGACATGAATGTGATCTTTGAAATCCAGATCACATTGAACGTGTCCAACCCTGACCTATTGTGCGGTCAGGTCAAACAGAATCTTGAGGCAGACACGTCCTGCTGCTCTGAACGGTCTATCTCTGGGATTTCTCCTGAGAAATTCTAATGAAAGTCTCACTTTTCTAACACTTGAGGCCATGTTTGTTTTCATAAATCATTCGAAGCCTTTATACTTGGTAAGGATAAACATGTGTGACTATTTAAAGTGTGTTTATCCGTGTTATGATGTACGTGAAGTGTCTGACCTGTCTGAGAGCCGGTCAGACTGATAAGCGTCGGTCTGCAGTTGCCGCTGATCGTGTTGCCTCCTCGTTTGCTTCGTCTGCTGAAGGCCCAGCTCAGCCACACCAACTGCACTCAACCAAAAACAGTTACAAAAGTCAAAAGTCACATGTCTGTGCCTCTTGTTGTAACACACAAAGAAAAGGATAACAACACTGGCACGTCTGTGGATCTGAGCAGGTGCAGTGAAGCAGCAGTCATGTTTGGAAGTCAAGGGCCTTGTTGGTTGGACAGGGTTGTCATGTTTTGTAGTAACTACATTTGGCCCAGGGACAGGTCGGCAGCGAGAGCTTTCAGTGGCCGTGTCAGGGTGATTTATTTGTTTGGAGGACTCAGGGGAGTTCCCTGTGTTGCATGTTTAAAGTGGTAGAACAACTCAAAGGGAAGGCTCTGAGTTTTCCCAACAGCTTTGCGAGGCCTTGTGGGTTCTCTGTGAAATCAAATCAAAGCGACGTTCCACACATTTGTTTTTACCGGAAGAAATCTGAAAGGCTGCTGATTTATGAGGTATGCTGAAATCCCACAAAAAGGCCGTAATTCAAAGTAAACATTTATGTTGCAGTGACAGTAAAGCTGCTGTGGATGGCGTAAGCTGATAATGAATTTTGACAGCCCAGCGCTGAAACTAATGATGCATTTATTTAAGCGATTTACTTGCCTTTGCTTAGTTGAAAAAAGAGGAGACAAGCTTTACAGTTTTCATTGCTTAATTGAAAAGCTCCACTAAAAATGTCAAGTGATGGATGTTTCCCCCCGGGGCAGCAAAGGCCAGGAAATGGCTACATGCAGTTCCTAAAGCTGGGAGAAAGTATTTTCAGCCTAAATAACTCCAGGAGAGTCTTCCATGAGCAGCTGCTTTCTTTTAAACGCTGCTAAATGAAGCCTTAATGGACCAAACATGGCCTCTAAATCATTTTAACTGTGTCATTCATGCCACACATATAGAGAGGTAAGGTTGAATTTGACGATTTAAAATCACTGCATGTGGAGTCTTTCATGATGAATAAAACTCACTTACTCATTGGACTCCAGGAGCATAAAGAGTCATCCTCCCCCCGTTTTCTTCCCCAGAAGCCCCAACTTTAAGCCCCCTCCTGACCTCCTGAATCCCCTCCAGGACATCTAAATGGGGCCTGTAGGAGTCACGCCTGTTTGGGGTCTCTTAAGCACATTAAGTGATCTGGTCTCCTCTGAGGAGGGGAAAACTTAGTATCAGAAGCGGGTGAGGAGGAGGAAGGTAGGGGCTTTGGCCCCAGCTAACTAGAGCTGAAAGAGGAGTGAGGTGAGCACTCCTTCCTCAACAAACAGTCAATCAAACCTCTACATAATGTGTTGTATAAAGACACACAGCCTCTCATCCCTCTGTTGATGAAAAGTGAAGCCAAATTTGTGCCAGAGTGTGAGAACTGAGGATGTAGGGCCGTGAGTCCCAGCTACTGCTCCTCACGCAGTCATGGTCATGTCAGACAACAGCTAATGACAGCTAAATGCATAGGAATGCCTACAGTGTGTTTATGGTTTGAACTTGCAGCAGAAAGGTAAGGTAACCCTAACCCTACATGAATCATCAACGGTCAATGCCTGGAAAAAGTTATCTGAAGAGCATTATGTTATTTATTTCATGGAGGGGTGGGACTTCAAACATTCCTGTTTGCAGTGAATGCAAAAAGAAAATGACCTGTATTTGATATAGCGCTTTCTAGAGTCCTGGAACCCCCCAAGGCACTTTACAACACAACCAGTCATTCACTCATTCACACCCACACATTCACACGCTGGTGGGAACGAGCTACGATGTAGCCACAGCTGCCCTGGGGCGCACTGATGGGCAAGGCTGCCGAGCACTAGCGCCACCGGTCCCTCTGACCGCCACCAGCAGGCAAGGTGGGTTAAGTGTCTTGTCCAAGGACACAATGACAGCAACAGACTGAGTGGGACTTGAACCCGCAACCTTCCGATTACGGGGCGAGCACGTAGCACCTGTGCCACCGTCGCCCCAGTTATGATTTCATTGCTAAGCAAACCGGAGGCGCCTTTACTTTGGAGTAGCTCTCACGTGTTTTTCTTGCTGAAAACGGCCAGGAAAACGCTGTTAGCTTTGGTTAACATGCAGCTAGCGTCCCGCTTATCTCCGACTGTGTAGAAAGAACTGATGTAAAAGACCACAGAGTTACGATCGCAGTGGTCTGACGCTCCGCTTGTAATTTAACAGTCCCAGTCCACATTAGACCTCCACAGGCAATCTTCTGATTGCCTGTGGAGGTAATCAGAAGATGGCCTGTATCCCACCCGCACAGCCAGTCTGCTGTGCGGGTGGGATACCCCGGTCCAAGAAGAAGAAGAAGAAGAAAATATCATTTGTATAGCGCCTCTCAAGATAAAAATCACGAGGTGCTTCACAAAAACAAAAAATGTAAAAAATATAAAAAAGCATTTAGAAAATGTTTAAAAATATATTGAAAATGAGCAAAAATAGACAATTGTGATATAAAAACATGTTAAGAAAGAGAGAGAGTGAATAGGAAAGAGGGAAATCAGTGGATCCTGATGAAGGTGGAATAGGTGGGGAGAGCAGAATAAAGAGAGAGGTGAAGAAGGTCATACAAAAGCCAGCTTGAACAAGTGAGTCTTCAGCTGCTTTTTGAAGGAGACCACTGAGTCCACTGATCTCAGGCTCAGGGGGAGAGAGGTCCAGAGTCTGGGGGCCACAGCAGCAAATGATCTGTCAACTTTGGTCTTTAGCCTGGTGCTGCACAACCAGTAGGCTTTGATCACTGGACCTCAGGGACCTGCTGGGGATGTAGGGACTGAGAAGGAGCCCTTCTTAGCTTCTTGGGTTAGCCAAGTTAGCTAGTAGCTTCATTTGTTAATTTGTCCCAACACTGTACCAAACGTAACAGCCCCACCCTCAGATCCACCTATTTAGCCATTTTTGGATTGTCCTGACGTGACGGGACCTGTGACACGGTCAAAATGGCAGTGGTGAGAACCTCCCATTTTGGCACAAAAACTTATAATTTGAGCCTACGGACATGAGTTGGACAGTATATATGTTGATGGGTTGAACCAAACCACTGTTCTCTGCTGATGTTTCACTCATTTTCTACCTTTGACGACTAAAGTCGTAATTTGCATTTTTTATGGGGCGGGCATCGGAACGAGACCCCCACACTGGAGAGCAAGCATCACGTCTCTAAAGCTGATCTTCATCCATGAATGTCACACATCATGTGACCAGGAAGCGGGAAATCCATGAAGTAAGAGATTGTTTTGGGCCGCTGCTGTAAAAAAAGTGAGGCGCAAACCAGAAAGGCTTCTGCAGCTCACAAGTCGACAACGGTTTATGAAAGAGCGGATAACACTAGAAACACGCTGATTCTTCTTGATGTAAGAAGTGAGTCTACTCTTTCTTTTGGTAATTTTAGTGTTTACATGATCATAGAGCACAATGACCTGTGACTGTTCAAAAAACAGTAAAAACGCTCAAAAACGCTGGCAGTCAGGAGCTTTTCTGATCAGGAAACAGATGGCGGTGAATGAGTTAAAACAGCTGGAAAATAAAAACATCTAGAAGAGCAATGCAACCAAATGTTTTAGGATCACTGTTTAAATCATAAACTGGAGGACCAACCCCAGAGCGTTCGAGGGACTTTATGTTGGACTCCCGTCTCTGTTAGTGGGTCAGTCTGCTGCCCCAGTGCATAAGCTCTGGCTTCTCAAACCTAAACCAATAGAAACGATTTCCACTGCTGCTAGAGAAACAGTAAAAAGAAGCTCATAAATTAAATGCACATGAGTGATGGTAGAAGCTCTGAGACGGAGATATTTTGGAAGATCAGCGATAAACACAGTGATTGTGTTTCAGTTGGACTTTGTTGATGACATGAAGTGTGAAATTGAGTTAAGTACTCAGGAGGTAGGGGTTCCAGGCTGAAATAAAAATACATATCCTCGTGTCCCTGTGACGAATGTTTGGTGAGGCTGGAGGTGGGATGGAGAAAGGCGTTGGTGGAAAGTAAGAGCAGAAATGCTCGGAGGCATAAAACATCTTTCACAGATGAATCCCTCAGACTCTCAGAGAAATGTACATTTATACTTCTGCTTTTAAGAGAAGATCTCTCATGGCTTCGCACCATACTCTCCCTGACTCACTCTATGTAAGCCGATATCCATTTCAAGTGGCTTACTCATGTCCAGCACATCCACACAAAGAGCCTGGATAAAATAAACATGCCGCGTCAGATATCTTGGAAAGAATCTGTCATGGGTTTGGGGCTAATCACCTCCAGAAGTGGTTTGACTCAGAGCTTGAAACGTTAGCCCCTGTCGGGGAGCACTGGATAGGCCAGGCTGGGTTGGGCTGGCTAGGCCTCGGGCACTGGAGATGGATCCGGAGGGGGGGTGCCTTTCACGGGTCAGAACCAGAGGAACACAAGTGCTGCCTTTATCGCTGCAGTTGCTACGACCTCATGGCCATCTTGTAAAAAATCTGCAGGAGTCGTCTCCACCTGAGCGACACTGGTTAGAGTTATGGGTGTTGCTGGATTCCACTCAGTGTGATCAGATGTAAAGTTTAAAGCACAACGAAGCCCTAACTGGAGACGTATAGTTACACAGAGTCGTTTAAACTCAGAGCTTGAGAAGCTCAGTACTGGGATAAGGGTGGAGAAGACCGATAACAAACTGGGAAAAACAAAACTGGAATACTGTTGTAATGTAACAGGTCATTCAAACAGAAACACTGCCAGCTGGCTGGGAGCTTATCCACAGAAAAAATGTGCTCAGAAACGACTCCAGTGTTAGTAAAAGCAGCACTGGAAAGATGACGCAACACACCAGCAGTCACAATAAAATTAATTTCACAGCTTTCTCTACTTATTTTTTAAAGTGCATTTGCCATTCTAGCTGTAACAATAAAGAACAACCATTAAATAATTCAACAGCTCATGATGCTTCCAGCAGCACTGGACTTGGACGAGTCACTTTACTGGCAGCTGTGACTGCTGACCTCGAGCACCGTGCACTCCACATGCGAGCTCTGACCTCTATGGGTGAAAAAGCAGGGATGTGGGGCGAGGGGGAGAGACCTCCCATCCTTCATGAGGATGTCACAAAGTCAAATTGTTGATGCACCTCTGGACAAAGCTCCCAGCCAGGGATGCCATTCAGTCCTGAATTCGCAAACCATGGTCAAGACTGAAGAAGCCTTTTGGATGAGAGGTGAAACGTCTTCAAGCAACAAATTGTCTTTTTAAAGATGTGGATCACTCATTTAATCAATACATCTGCAGTGGTCTCTAGTAGGAATGGATGCCTTGTAAGTTGTACTCTGGCAAAAAAAAAAATTCCCAGAGGAACTAGAAGTGACCCAGATCAGAGTTGAGCCTAGATGACAGGATGTGGAGTCTTATTTCCTGATATTTGGACATCATAACAGCAACATGACTCTACCACTGACTCTTTGTTCTGTAACAGTGATGTTTTATCTCCACAAATAACACAAGCCTGGAGGAGTTGTGTTGCGTGGTGGTTGCTAATGCTAATGGCTAGCTTCTACTAAACCAAGATGTTCTCTGCTGTTTCTCGGACGCTAAACCAACAACAGCCTTTGCCTGTCGTGAGCCAAGATGGGTGAGTCCATGAATGTTCAGCGTGATGCAGATCTGTCAGGCTTTTATAACCTAAACGTTTCCCTTTCTGTTTTCTATCAGAAACGAATGCAGGACAAAGCTGTAGGAGACTTTTAATGTTCAGCCTGGATGAAAATCCCATATGACCCATTATAATCAAAAATAATGTCTAAATAATGTTTTTTCAGTGAACCACACCTTTACAATAGTTCACTCTCATGAATGTGGGATGAATGAGTTTCTACACCAACATATATCACAAGTTTTAAAAAATCCTTCACGGTGAAACAGCCATTTAGTCCACTCGGTATAGTGCTTACTGTGCAAAGAAACGCTCAAACATACAACAAGCACAATGACACTGCAATGCCAGAAAACGCATACCATTGCATATGTGACGTTTTACCTTTTAAACAGTATCTGCTGTGCTGTGCAGGCCTGCTCCTTGCCTCTGCTGAGCTAAACTTGTTACTGGAGTTTCCTAACAAGGCATCACGGACAGAGGGCTCTAAATGAGAGCATTAAGGAAGGATAAAGCATCCTGGCTTAAAAAAACATTTAAAAAGGATCAAACATTCGGAAAATATTAGAACAGTGCTCTGGTTCCAGGCACATGCCATCAGGAGTTACAGTCGACATAGACCTGAGGGTTGGTGGTGCAAGATGACAAGAATTTTGCTGCTGCAGTCATGCAATTATGATCAAAGAGCAGTCTCTCTTCACACGACCAACATGCATGATGGTGGTGTCAGGACCACTGCGTCTTTGGGCAAAGCAAAGCAGCGGTGAGGTCGCCGTGCACAGACACGACTCAGCACCCAGGTGGAATGAAATTCTTCTTCAAATGACCTGTCAAATGGTTACTTTTCATTGGCAATCATCATTTCCTCTGCAGGCTTTATGAAAAATGCCCAATCAGAGGTGACAGGCCCTGGTTTCTGCTGTCTGTTACCCCTTGTTAAAATACATGAGATGGACGGTTCATTGCTGCTGAGGCACGATTTAAGAAAATGACAAAACATATATATAAATCCTGTTCTGACACTCACCACGGAGTTTCTGCTTGTGTTTAGCTGATTTCATTTTCTGGGCTCTCTTCAGCATAAGAAGAGCTGTGCGTCTATCTGTAAAGCCCCTGGAGAAACACAATAACATAACTAAAACTTTTGTTAAGTAAACACATGTAGCAGGAAAATCAAGGAGCAGTGGAGGGAAACATGTGGGATGTGATGAGGAGTTACCATTCCTCCAGAATCTTCTCTGATGTTTCAGACAAACCGCAGTGGGCCGAGACTGACCCAGGAGGCTGGCTTCTGAAACCATAAAGAAGTGAAAGGCTTTGTAGAGATTTCCAATTTACAAACAAACTCCAAATGTTATTCCAACCAAGCCTGAATGTGAGAAAATGAAGTGTGTGCATTGTACCTGTCAGCTTTATTTATTTATTTGCTTTTTGTACAACCCACAGTTGTGTCAGACACAAACTTTTTTTTTCCTGCATTAAAAACAGATTAAGCTGGCATATAACTGGACACTGTTTGGTAAATGCAAGGCCGGATTAACCATATGGGCAACTGGGCAATTGCCCAGGGCCCACAAACTCTAAAGGACCCAGGGCAGCAAGGGCACAAGCAAAATACTGTATCTGTAATCTCCCGCTTTATATTAAACTAGGGTGACCGTACGTCCAGTTTTCCCCGGACATGTCCACTTTTCACTCTCTGTCCGGGGCGTCCGGGTGGGGGTGGGGTGGGTGGGGGTTCTTGTATTGAAGAAAATGTCTGGATTTTCATCCAGGAGCAGGGATCGAATTATGGGGGACTTGGATATCCTACACATCCAGGGGAGCCGGAAAAAAGTTTTCTACCTATATTACATCATTTATGGACTCTTTAGAGCAGAGAGCACAGCGAGCGGCACAGCGCGTTGTTGCGCAGCGCTCTAGGCAGCTGCTTCCAGCGCACGGTCCATTCTCAAATGGGTGAAAAGCACAATTTTATCTGTTAAAAGCAACATGCTTCAGTTTGATTGACAGACTGCATTATGTGTAGCAAACATTTGGGCTGACCATTCATTGCGATATTTATCTGTTCTTTGCGATATGCATATTGTGCATGCTGATATCGTGATAAAGATATATTTGCGATATATTGTGCAGCCCTAGTGTCCACATGTTTTGGGAATTAAATCAGTATTACACCCCAATAAAAATGAAAAAAGTGCAAAAACTCAATTTGAAAAGATAGCAGTGATAATGAATCTAGACTTTTCTGGGACACCTGAAACGTTTACTATTTAAAATACAGGTTTAAAACATGTCGCACTTAATATCCTCCATTAGGGCTTGTTCACTGAGAAACCATTGTGCTACTATAGGTTACTCTGAGTTGCAAAAAGATGCTGAACGTGCACATTTTCTTAAGCCCCACCCTGTGTTAGCTGCAGAGAAAAAGTAGACAGGAAAACGATTGGTTCAGAAAAAGCCTCTTCTACAGCACAGAGTACATTTACATTCAAGGCCTCGCCCATCTTGTCTTGCTGGCTATAGGGAGCCCTAATGGGCTCGACACACGGGAGGCGACATCGCCTCTCCTCCATTCATTTTCAATGAGACATGCACGACAAAGCGATAATCGCGTGTCTCCCTCCTACTAAGCGAAACGCGAAAAACGTGTGTGTGAAATTTTGCACATGTGCACGTGTCGTGCACAGGCGACCCAGTGACGCGATCAAAGAAAGTTGAAATATTTTCAACTTTTCATCGCTGTTGCTCAGACGAGGACCAATCAACGGAGGTTTCATTCACTGACCAATGAGCGGACAGGATGCTCCGTACATCTCCGAGCAAACATGAAGGAGAAGTTGATTATTATTATGTTTTATAAAGTAAAATCAGAAGTAAGATTTCACATAACTCTAGCAGCACCTTGTGAAACATCATAGCTACCACTTTTTTTTTTTTTAAACTCTGAACCACTTAAATAACCTCAATTCCCTCCAACCTGACACAGCCAAACAAAACAACGGAAGTTTCAATTTCGCCATGGAACAGAACGCGTAGACGGCTTTGCCGCTGGCCGCTGCCGCGGGTTGCCTCCCGTGTGTCAGGTAATAAAAGCGACAGCGACGAATTTCGCTTATTGCAGTCGTTTGTCGCCTCCCGTGTGTCGAGCCCCTAAGTCTCCTCCCTTTCTGGTCAGCTCATGTGTCAGTCACATACTTTGAGATTTATCAGCTTGTAAAAGTTTGCTGTTAGCATCACTACAAATCGGCACGTCGCATCTATGACGTCACCACAGTGTCTCCTCTCCCCTAGCACAGCTGCTGCTTATTACATGGCCAGATTTATGGTGGTTCTTTTCTTCTGAAAGAAGGATTTGAAGTTCGCTGAACTTCGCCATTTTACCTCAGTTTTTTCTTCTCCGTGTCTGGTTTGATGACGTCACTTTCATGAAGCGCATTCGTAGTCCAGGACTTATTTTCACACAAAACCTCAAATTGTGTGTGCCCCGTTCAAAAATAAGCGCTTTCTTGGTATCAAAATGTGTATTTAAAATTCACGGACATCATATGTGAAATCCATGGCACATAACAAGCCGAATTAGAAAATAGCGTTTTTAGCCTAATGGACTTGTGTTCCTTTTTACATTCTTCCGGGGACCCGTGGTCTGGAAGTAGATGGGCGTGACTTAGGCTCCCTATGGTTATTTACCGTCCAGGAGACAGCAGAGCACATCTCGGCTAGAAGCTAATTATTAGCTTTAGCAAATTTACAACACGGCAAATCCTGTGCAAAATGGGGCACGAGGGTTAGGGTAATTAGCTTGAGAGATAAAATATCAACGTTGCAAAGCGAACAAAGGTAGCAGAAAAGTCACATTGCTTTAAGCCAGTCGTTATATTAATGAGTGAAACTCTAAATCCTACTGCCCCCCTATTTCTCTAACAAACATCTAGCCTCTGAAACAGGAGTGAAAGAACTTGTTTCCCCTCAGAAAAGACCACAGTGGATTTATTGAAAAAAATCAGTGATTTTAACCTTTCAAGGAGCACAGTATGTATCCACCACAGTGATAAACCACCAAAACCTCTCTGCGGAAGTTTGGACACACATTATCCATAATAACCCTAACCCGATCAATGGGGATCCCACATAAAGCTGCAATAGCAAATCTACAAAACAAGTTAGCTTTTAAAAGCAAATGCTGTCATGAAATTCTCACCCCTCCAGTCGACTATCATCCCTGGGCCACATCCATCTGGAACAGAACCCACATTGCCAGAGGAAACGAGAAAGCGCTAAACATCAGTCACCGTTTTCTAGGTCCAAATGTCTTTTGTTGTCCGTGACTTGAAAGTGTTGCTTTTCTTTTTGGGACTCTGGTAATTTGTCCTAAAGTTGAAGTGGTAGCAGTCGTCTGAATCCCTTCTCTGATATTATTGAGCAGAGAACCTCTCAAACCAGTGGTGTTCTGTTGCTAAATACACTTGAATGGATGTTCCAATAGCTGCTTTCGGTCCATGTTGTGTTATTAGCTGAGGTTTTTAGACAAATGCGAGAGAACCACTTTATTATATTTTGTACGTTTTTTTATCTCCACAATTTATAGCTTTACTGTGCTAGACCATTGTTAATAGGCATGAAAGAAATGCTTTAAGCTAGCTTGTTTTCCAGATTTGCCATTGTAGCTTTAATAAGTACCTGAAGACTTCATCAACACTGTGAAAAATCTATCACATCCTTATGTTATTTGATTTCTGATTGTTATTTTTGTAGCAAAAGATGTTGAAAGGAGCCTTTTCAAATGGCTTTTCGACGTTAACGGCAGAGCCATAAGTCCCATCACATGTTTCATAGGACATATTTTGACTTAAGAGTCATAGTTGTATTATTGAAAATCCCTAGCCTAGTGAACTAGACCAAATTCTTGCTTTTCAAAATTTGGTCTAGGAATGCTCAACTGGAACCTCTGCTGCCCCTAGCAGCATTGTGGCGGGCCAATCACAGCTCTCAGAAGGGTTTCAAATGCGAGCGCTGTGACTGGTCTACAATGGTGGGCCAGGATAGAAAATTACACCATGGTAAATGAAAACTGTGTTTCTGTACATTCTACACAAAACAGACAGAACAGGGACATTACAGGACTACAGCCCTCACTATTACATGTTTGTTTGGCTTCTTTCACATCAAAATGTAAACATTTATACAGGTACAAAACACTGATCAACCTCTCTATTCAGATACTTTCTGGAAGACACCCAGTGTATGTGACTGACATCAAGGCTTTTCCTTTCCTGTTGGGCGAAGACCTGCTCAACCGCTTTAAGCCTATTGTTCCAGTCGCTGGGTGGAGGCTCTGGACCCGGTTGACTCAACCGCTGCCCATGGCGCTCTCCCAGGACCTCATTTGTGCCATTGTTGTTGTTAACAACAGCGCCGCCCATATGACTAGTCTAGTGTTTCTCTGGTCAGTGACCGCCCTAGTGTCTGTGTCGTCTTTGCACCTGATCTTTCTGGCTGCACCTATGTGTCAACCAAGGGCCCTCCAGAGCGCCTCCCAGTGCCAAGCCCTTTAGAATATGTGACTGCGCCGGTCTACAGTCTACATCGTTCAACATTTCGGGTGTCTGGTCTATTAAAGTATCTTATGCTGGACGTGTGTATTGTCGGGATGTCCAACGCGGCTACACCTCCTCTTCAGCCTTCTTTACCATGACTGTGTGAACCTGGTTCCTCTTCGGGTATCACACTCAGTAGTTACAGTTACACTTAATGATAGTTTAAACAGTTGTGTGGATAGTTTAGCTGCTTTACCTGCATCTTATGGGAAAGTTCTTTTGGCATATTTAATGTAGAAGATAAAATAATCAGATGGCTTTGCCTTTTTCTACCTGTTGAAGCCTTCAGCTGGAGTTGGTTGCAGTTCCAACTCATCCTGTTGTTCAGCCATCCAGGCCTGCTTTGGGATCCATGTGGGTGGTGGTTGAAGTGCACCTTGCAGTGGCAGTTCAGTCACAGGTGACTGAAATAAAAGTATTGATCAGTGTACCAATAATTTACCATTCTATTTATTTTAAAGATATTCTTTAAAGAGCATCCTTATATGTGTATTTATGGTAACATATATTTTCAAAATATGTTTCATGTTCTTTCAAATGGAAAAATATCATGTTTATTCCAGTGTCTTTTTGTTGGTTGGTTTGCAGTAAGTGAAATATGTCCTGAACTACTGGCATTGAGACAGCAGCTGTAGACGCTTAGTACTGTCCTCAACACACACTGAATTGTTGTGAAAACTGTGTTTACAACTTTGACCCCACCTTTCACCCATTGAATACTGGAGTTATGCTCCAGCTCACTACAACCCTACAAAGGAAAAGCCACTGAGATAATGAGTGAGTCTGAATGCTATCTCATGAACCACTGAATGGATCTGACTGAAACTTTCAGAGTTATGATGTATACGTTTATGTATATTTATTTGGCAGACGATTTATCCAAAGTGACTTACAATTTATAACCTATAGTGCATGTTGTGATCCGTGGGGGAAACCGGAGTACCCGGAGGAAACCCATGCATGCATGGGGAGAACACGCAACTCCACGCAGAAAGGCCGCAGCCGAGTTTCGAACCTGCGACCTTCGTGCTGCGAGGCAACAGTGCTAACAACTGCGCCACCATGCAGCCCATTACATCATTATCATTACACATCCACATACACATCTGTAAACAACTGAATAACTTCAGGTGTTAATCTAATATAAGATGATCACTACAGCCGTGTTAATTTCATTGACAAAATTACATTTCTTTTCTGTGACTAATTAATTTGCTGCTTTGGCCGATGTTATCAGGGTTCTGTGTTCTAGCAGTGTTTTTGTGACGGTCAAAACATTCAGTCGGTCCAGAAAAACTTTTAGGCAGCTCACTGGGGTCGATTAGTGCAGGGAAAACTCTAATAAATACACCTGGAGACTATTCTTATTTTTAGTTTACCTCCTCGCATTTTAACACATTTTCTTTTTTGATGGCATGATGTCATTTGCTTTCATCTTTACAAATATTAATGCACATTTTACTTTTTTTTGCACTTTATTAATACTGAAAAACACAATTTCAAACTGCCAGGTACCATTTTGGTATTTTCCAATAATTGTAGTTATTAAAACAAGTCTAGATATAGTTTTATTGATCCAAAGTGTGAAATGTATCGTTAACATTTCCTTTACAGAACTTGAAAATTATTGCATCAGATGAAATATTCATGTTTTAGTTGACTTAAATAAGAATACAATTTAAAAAAAATGTTGTCAAATGACTAAAAGTTAAGATTTCTTATCAAAATGAACACTGCACCACAGGCAACAGAAAACAACAAAATGATCATCAAGACTCGGTGAATTTTCCAGATATTTCACTAGAATTTCATAATTTTAGTTGCTGGGAGTTATCCACACAGTATAGGCATGTTTCCATTGTCGGAACTTCAGGATAAATTCTGGGACGTGTAAATTGACCAGGAGATACGATGACCTGGTTGTTACAGCTGTTGCGGTTTGTCCCAGAAATCTGAAGCTGCAGATGACAATCAGTGCTTTTCCTCCTCCTCCTACCTGCACAGCTGCACTCACTTGGACTGATCACCTTCTGAGCAACATAAAAGGGAGAGCTGCCAGGAGGAAGGGAGAGGAGATCAGCTGATTGAGAAGTGGGTCGGTGAGGCCGGAGCTGGAGTCGATCTAGGAGCTAACTGCACGATCCGAGGTTGCCGAGGCGGGTTCTGTTGAAAGTTCTCAGGCCTTTCTGACGGGGCTCCGCTGTGTTTGATCGCTGGGGTGTCGGCTTCGATTGGCTGGGAAGGGAGTTGGTGAGTCGGCTGATGGCCTGTTAGAGTCCGGTAAGACGATTTTTCCTTCTCTGTTCCCGTTCAATCTCTCGGTGCTGGTGTGGGGCGGAGGGCCAGTGAGGAAGCCGGGGCTAAGCTGGCGGAGGGTAGGGGCATTTCCAAGAGGGATCGTAGCGCCTCGTCTCCGGATAGGGTGGTGGAGGAGGGTTCATCTAAACTGCCGCGGACTGGAGGAGTTGGTGGAATGGGCCTGGTTGTTCAACTGAGGGCGTCTAGCGGGGGTGGTTTTGTTTCCGTCAATCCGCTGCAGCTGTCTCGGGAGTTGAAGGAGAAGTTGGGGGAAGTGGAGGATTCTTCTGTCTTGCCTGGTGGGGTGTTGGCTGTTGTGTGTTGTACTGGGGCGCAGTGGGACAAGGCATTCAACTTAAGCAGTTTCTGGATGTGGAGGTTGAGGTGGTGGTACCGCGGGCTGTGACTGGTATTCAGGGTGTGGTGTATGGCATTCCGAATGACGTTCTTGAGTCTGAGGTTCTTCGATGTCTAAGTGGAGGTACTGTTAAATGAATGATAAATGATCCGCACTTGTATAGTGCCTCTCAAAGTAAGGACTCCAAAGCGCTTTACACTACAGTGTATCATTCACCCATTCACACACACATTCATACACTGGTGGGGATGAGAGGCGAGGCTGCCGAGCACAGGCGCCACCAGACCCTCCGACCACCACCAGCAGGCAAGGTGGGTTAAGTGTGTTGCCCAAGGACACAACAGCAGAATTCTCTGTCCGGAGTTGGGATCGAACTTGCAACCTTCCGATTACTGGACAACTCGCTCAACCTGTTGAGCTACTGCTGCTGTTACAGCTGTACGTCGAATGGGCTTCAATGCCAGGGGTACTACACCCTTGTTGCTGTCTTTCAGCAACTCTGAGTTACCTGGCCGTGTCATGTTAGGATACGTCAGCTATTCTGTCAGGGAATTTGAGAGGGCACCTTTGAGGTGCTTTCGGTGCCAGAAATTTGGCCATGTGGCAGGAGTCTGCGTAGATATTAGGAGGTGTGAGGGCGACCATGTGAGGAGGCCCTCTGTTGTTACAACTGTGGGAGCTGTCACCAGACTACTTTTAGGGGTTGTGCATTTTATCAAGAGGCGGTGGCTGTTGAGGCCTGTTGGTCGGATCGTAAGGTTTCCTATGCTGAGGTTGTGCGTCGACTGAAAGATGGTGGAGGGGTGGGGTCTCGGGGGGCTGGGGCAGGTTCTGTGGCTTTGCTGGTTTTAGACAAGGGGACGTTGGGAGGTGGTGGGGTGATGGTGGGGGATCAAACACAGTTCCTGGCTTTTAATGTGGAGGGTGAGGACTGTGGCGACTAGCAAGTCGGATGCGGCGCGTGAGGTGACGGCTGTGGCTGAAAAGCTTCTGGGCTTCTCTGGTGTGGATCCCAGTGAGGTTTGGAGGTCTGCTTGTTCGAGGGGGATGGGGGGTCCTGGCATTGGGGGTAGTCAGGATGTGGTTTTGGTGGTGGATGGCGGTGGTGCGCCTGATGAGGATGGGGGTATGGTGGAGGACAGCCATTGATGATGACTTTTAGAGTCCTGCAATGGAATGCCAGAAGTTTGGTAGCCAATGGTCAGGAGTTTAAGAGGACAATTGAGGTTATGGATGTACCGCATATAACGGCAATTTTAAAGAAGCGCAAATTGTGCTTGTTTTCTTTTGCCTCTGTCTGCTAAAGTCATTTCCTACTGAGTTATAACCAATCAGTGTGAGTTAACCAAATATTCCATTCAGTGACTGCACTGAGCCTGTCTGAGTACATAGCCCTGTTCAGGTGCTCCATTGTTTCCTGAAAATGGTCCAGTAAACAGCCTGTTGGGCCGGCCTGATGAAGTGGAAACACGCCCATGCTGAGCAGTTCCTGTAAAATTACGCTGAAGTTTGTGGATAATGAAAACACGCCATGTGAGTACTAACTGATACTGTGTCAGATGTAGCGTTACGTCAGTTTTTAAAAGGAAAAATTAAACTTGACATGTGTCTGGGGAAACCAGTGTATATTGTGTACAATAATATCTACTAACATTAAACACAGGCGCATAATTTCATTTTACATACTTAGCAGGTATTTTTCCCCAAAATGCATTTTCACACTCATGGAATGCTCAAGTCCCACTCAGACTAAAAGCTTAATAACTCTCCAGATTCCATTTTCTTTTTGTCCAAGTGTTGAATTGTTCATCACTGCCTTTGATGTGCACCTCAGTGTCAACAAGCCGAGGCTGAGCACACTGCCAGCTGCAGTACATCATCTGGCCCAAACCAGCTACCATGATGTACAGTGCTGAGCATGTTCCAAAGAAAAGATCCAACAAGAGGTAAACGAAGGGGAAAAAGCAGGACGATGCCTCAGCCAGTATGATAAATGACATCTGCTGGTGCTGAGCAACCTTCAGCCCCTCCAGGAAATAATCTTGTTTTTGGAGTGAATATAAATCTAAAGATCAGTCAGGGAAAGGAGTCGAAGCCTGAAGGGGAGAGGGGTTAAGATGTGAAGGGACAGGGCAAGGAAAGAAATGTGTCTGTTGACAGGACGTGAGCTGGTAAGTGCACCCAGGGTCACACACACCCACATTTAAAATTATATTAGTCCATCTGGTTTGAAGATTATCAAATATACTTGGAGTGTTTTACCTTTGCAGCTACTGATTGTTCCAATGCAATGTGATGTCTGGGAGGTAAATCATCAGAAATAGACACTTTCCAGTGTTCCTCTATTGCTGGCTGGGTGCAAAGAAAAATAAAAATAAGCATAAAATGTTACAGCATGGTGAAAATAAATTTCAGATATGCATTATATCCAGTAAACGGTGGGTTCTAGGTTTACTGGGGTGAGGCCGAGCATAAAAGACTAATAATTAAATATTACTGGCCCAAATTAACCAATAATGTACAGGGGCCTTGTTTGTAAAACTTGCTTACGAACAAAACGGGGTCGGAAAACTGCGTAAGCAACTTTCCACGCAAACGTTGGGATTTATATAAAAAAAAAGTAGCAAAAAAATGTGCACAACTTTAAGTTGACTAAGGACCTGGCTTACGCACATTTAGGACATGGAGAGCACCTGCAGTGCTGCTGCTGAGAAGGATAAAATTATGAATTCCTGCAGCATCATCACTTGTACTGCGTTGTGTTCACACAGAACAACCCCATAAATGAGACCCCAGGTCTTTGCTTCTTTACAATCATTTATCTGCTCCTTCTCAGCATCTCTGCAGTCCAGCACATTTCAGCATATTGCACACATTTAGCACCTGACAGTTGCTCCTTCTGAACAATCTATGTATAAATAACTGTCCCAAAGACAAGAACAAATGCAACATTCAGAAAAATCTAAATGGAGGACAAAGAGAGGACCTCAATCTCAGGGAGGAATCACATGGAATTACATTTTCCTGGCATACGTTAAACACACACACACACACACACACACACACACACACACACACACACACACACACACACACACACACATTATTCACACAATTTTCTATTCTATTCTCTTTTTGTGAAGGCAGCAATGCAGCAGATTGCCCTTCTGTCTCTATTTTCTCCTTAGAAACAATTACCACCAGCTGTCAGATTAAAGTAAATATTTCACAAACAGCACTGCTCTTAAGGAGGATATATTATGCAAAATTCACTTTTGCATCCTTTTGTGCTGCCACATGGGTCTCTACTGCCTCTATAACCACTCTCAATGAGAAAAAACTTGAGCATCCATTTTCTGTCAGTGTTTCATTTCAGGAAATCGTCGTCTTCCTCCGCTTATCCGGGTCTGGATCGCGGGGGCAGAATCCCAACTAGGGAGCTCCAGACCGTCCTCACCCCGGCCACCTCCACCAGCTCCTTCGGCAGGACCCCAAGGCGTTCCCGGACCAGATTGGAGATGTAACCACTCCAACGTGTCCTGGGTCTACCCGGGGGCCGGCAGGACATGCTCAAAACACCTCCCCAGGGAGGCGTCCAGGAGGCATCCTGACCAGGCGCCCAAACCACCTCAACTGACTCCTTTCGATCCGGAGAAGCAGCGGTTCTACTCCAAGTCCCTCCCGAATGTCCGAGCTCCTCACCCTATCTCTAAGGCTGAGCCCGGCCACCCTGCGGAGGAAACTCATTTTGGCAGCTTGTATCCGCGATCTTGTTCTTTCGGTCATTACCCAAAGCTCATGACCATAGGTGAGGATTGGGACGTAGATCAACCGGTGAATCGAGAGCCTGGCTTTCTGGCTAAGCTCCCTCTTCACCACAACAGATCGGCTCAGCGTTCGCATCACAGCAGATGTTGAACAATCCGCCTGTCGATCTCCCGATCCCTCCTACCCTCACTCGTGAACAAGACCCCGAGATACTTAAACTCCTCCACTTGAGGTAGGACCTCTCTCCCGACCCGGAGTTGGCAAGCCACCCTTTTCCGGTCGAGAACCATGGTCTCAGATTTGGAGGTGCTGATCCTCATTCCAACCGCTTCACACTCGGCCGCAAACCTACCTAGCAAGAGCTGAAGGTCAGAACTGGATGAAGCTAGGAGGACCACATCATCCGCAAAAAGCAGAGACAAGATTCTCCTGCCACCAAACTCGACACACTCCACACCCTGGCTGCGCCTAGAAATTCTGTCCATAAACAGAACCGGTGACAAAGGGCAGCCCTGGCGGAGTCCAACCCTCACCGGGAACAGGTCCAACTTACTACCGGCTATGCGGACCAAACTCACGCTCCTCTAGTAAAGGGACTGAATGGCCCTTAACAGAAAGCCACCCACCCCATACTCCTGGAGCGTCCCCCACAGGGTGCCCCTGGGGACACGGTCATAAGCCTTCTCCAAACCCACAAAACACATGTGGATTGGTTGGGCAAACTCCCATGCCCCCTCCATCACCCTTGCAAGGGTATAGAGTTGGTCCACAGTTCCACGGCCAGGACGAAAACCACATTGCTCCTCCTCAATCTGAGATTCAACTATCGATCAGACCCTCCTCTCCAGTACCTTGGAGTAGACCTTTCCAGGGAGGCTGAGGAGTGTGATCCCCCCTATAGTTGGAACACACCCTCAGATCACCCTTCTTAAAGATGGGGACCACCACCCCGGTCTGCCACTCCACAGGAACTGCCCCCGATGACCACGCAATGTTGCAGAGACGTGTCAACCACGACAGCCCTACAACATCCATAGCCTTGAGATACCCAGGACGAATCTCGTCCGCCCCCGGGGCTCCGCCACTGTGTAGTTGTTTGACTACCTCAGCAATTTCTGCCCCCGAGATTGGACAGTCCATCCCCAGGTCTCCCGGCTCTGGTTCCTCCTCGGAATGCATGTAGGTGGGAATGAGGAGCTCCTCAAAGTATTCCTTCCACCATCCGACTATAGTCCCAGTTGACGTCAGCAGCTCCCCATCCCCACTGTAAACAGTGTGAGCAAGTTGCTGCCTTCCTCTCATGAGGCGCCGGACAGTTTGCCAGAACCTCTTTGGAGCCGATCGATAGTCTTTATCCATGGCCTCACCAAACTCTTCCCATGCCCAAGATTTTGCCGTGGCAACTGCCACTGCTGCACCCCGCTTGGCTATCCAATACCCCAGTACCTGTCTGCTGCCTCCGGAGACCCACAGACCAGCCACGTCCTGTAGGCCTCCTTCTTCAGCCTGACGGCTCCCCGAACCTCTGGTGTCCACCAGCGGGTACGGGAGTTGCCACACGACTGGCACCGGCCACCTTGCGACCACAGCAAGTAACAGCTGCCTCAACAATCGCAGAGTGGAACAAGGCCCACTCGGAGTCGATGTCCCCCACTGCTCTCGGGACGTGGTCAAAGCTCTGCCAGAGGTGGGAGTTGAAGACCGTCTTGACAGGTTCTTCTGCCAGGCGTTCCCAGCAGACCCTCACTATGCGTTTGGGTCTGCCAGGTCTAAGCGGCATTTTCCCCTGCCATCTGATCCAACTCACCACCAGGTGGTGATCAGTTGACAGCTCCGCTCCTCTCTTCACTCGGGTGTCCAAAACATACGGCCGCAGGTCAGATGATAAGACTACAAAGTCTATCATCGACCTGCGACCTAGGCTGCCCTGGTACCAAGTGTACCGATGGGCATCTTATGTTGGAACATGGTGTTCGTTATGGCGAAAATGCGGCTTGCACAGAAGTCCAATAACGAAACACCACTCAAGATCAGATCAGGCGGGCCATTTCTCCCAATCACACCCCTCCAGGTCATGCTGTCATTGCCCACATGAGCATTGAAGTCCCCCAGCAGGACAATGGAGTCCCCTGATGGAGCACTATCTAGCACTCGTCCCAGGGACTCCAAAAAGGGCGGGTACTCTGAACTGATATTTGGCCCATAAGCATAAACAACAGTCAGGACCCGTTCCCCAACCCAAAGGCGCAGGGAAGCTACCATCTCGTCCCCCGGGGTAAACCCCAACACACAGGCAGAGAGTCTTGGGGCTAACAAAAAGCCAACCCCAGCCCTCCGCCTCTCACCCGGAGCAACTCCAGTAAAGGAGAGTGTCCAAATCCTCTCAAGGACTTGGGTTCCAGAGCCAGTGCTATGTGTCGAGGTGAGTCCGACTATATCTAGCCGGTACTGCTCAACCTCTGCCACAAGCCCCTACTCCTTCCCCGCCAGAGAGGTGACGTTCCATGTCCCAAAAACCAGTTTCCTTGTCCGGGGATCGGACTGCCAATCCACACTGCACCGGACCCTTTATGTTCCTCCTGGGTGGGTCCACAGTTGGATGAGCCCATTTATCCGGTTCGGGCTGGGCCCGGCTGGGCCCCATGGGTGAAAGCCTGGCCACCAGGTGCTCGCTCATGGGCCCCAACCCCAGGCCTGGCTCCAGGGTGGGACCCCGTAACCCTCCGGGCCGGGTACTCCGACTCTTTGAATTTACTTCCATGAAAGATCCTCTGAACCGTTCTTTGTCTCACCCTTCACCTAAGACCAATTTGTCATGGGAGACCCTACATGGGGCACAAAGTGCCCCAGACAACAAAGCTCCTAGGATCATTAGGGCACTCAAACTCCTTCACCACGATAAGGTGATGGTTCAAGGAGGAGATTTCAGGAAATATATACCAAAAATTAGCTGTTTCAAAAAAGTTCCTGCTTGTGATGTAACAATAAGGAAAAGAAGTGTACAACACCACTGTCACAATATGCTCCTGCCTCCCTGTCTGTGTCTCTCCCCTGCCTCTGATTAGTCTTTATTGTTCTCACCTACCCCGTGTTAATCTTCCCATGTTTTCCTGATTGTTTCCTTGAGTATTTATACCTCCAGTCTTGTTTGAGTCTTTGTCGGATCATTGTGTTGTTGTATGTCGTGTTGTTCTTGTTCCCTGCCATATCCTGCCATTAAATCAACTTTTATTTTATCCGTGCCTGCATTCCTGCCTCCTGATCTGCTCCACCATACATAGTCCGCCGCCATCCACACCCGCAACGTGACAGAATGATCCGACCAACCTGGACCTGTGGTGAGCTCTAGTCATCTGCCTGCACCCAAAAAAGTCAACTAAGGCATTTGTTTGATAGGTTTAAAAGAAAATTGTCTATTTAACATGAACACATCATGTTTATGTTTTCAAATTATTATCACTTATTGGTTTAACATAAAATAACAAAACGTTTAATGAACAAGACTGGCATTCTTCAGTCCAATGAAGTGTGATTACTTCAAATCAGCAACTCATTCTGATTTCTAGTGCGCATGCTCAAACTTC